TATAAACATTAATCATCAATAACTCATAATTATCGATAATCTGCTTGTGTACTTGTATTCCCTTTATCTAAACTGTCTAAATAGATTTCTGACAAAGCAGCAAAATATTAGTTATAAACGATAATCGCTATTAAAATAAAAAAATAAAAAATAGGTTCATATTCAAATAAACAAACTGACAAACATGTTATTTTTAATTTTAAAGTTTAGCAATATCACAAAATTATTGAAAAAAAAATTATAATTGGTTAAATAGGTACTCCACATTTTGACAATTGCTTTGGTCAAAACAGATTTTATCAAAAATAATTCTAAGAGTTTTGATGAATAATAATTAATAACACCTTTTTCGCTGAAATATTTTTTATACGCTATACTCACGGACAAAAATTCAGTAGAACATTACATAGATCGCGTTTTACAATAAAAAACACTTACCAGTAAAAAACGTAATTTGTTTAAAACTATGACTATAGGAGAAAGAAAACATGTAGATAACATTATTTGAAGGTTTGAAAAATAACATATTTTCGGCCATAAGTAATGGTCAAAGCTATAATTGTCCCAATGCGGTCACCCATAAAGTACGTTATGCAAACATCTGCAATTAAAATTAGGATTTATATTTCAATCATGGGAATTATTTTTCTAATTCTTCGCTGATGACATCAGCCTAGCAATAAATAATTTTATGTAAATGTAATCAATGTGGTTGAATGTCGGTAAATGTGGTGGTGTGAGAGTTATAGTGATTAAAGCTGATCGACCTAGAGGATTTTTAAATTTCGATCAAACTATTCTAAAAAAAAGTTTATAAAACGTATGGGTTTGTGAGTCGACCATCAGTCACTAAACATCAGGTTAGCAGAAGTAGGAATGTACTAAAATGCTCTTAATAGTTTCTGGTGCAGTCCTCAGCTACAATGTTCTCGAATGTCTTTGATTGTCCTGGGGTAGAAATATCTAGAAGGGACCGGAGCGGAGGAATCGAAAACGTTCAGGAAAGTTCGAAGACCATTATGTGTGAATAGTGGGACTGGTTCCTAATACTATAGTAGGGTATTTTTATATGTATATTGAAATTTCGGCCACCAAACAGTCATTTAAAATAAATGAGAATGTACTGGAATGTTCTTTATTGTTTCTAAGTTGGCCATCAGTCATAACGTTTTCGAATGTCTTCAGAATTGCCCTTAGTTATTTACTAGAACGAATGAGACCAGAAAAGTCGAGAATATTCTAGAATGTTCTAGAATCATTATTGCTCAAACATAAAAAGCCTAATATAAAGGGTGTTTTGAACTTTAGCACGGTGAAAAAGCTCTATAAGTGACTTACATGGAGGCTTTTTTGTAAAAATAGAGTTCAAGAGTAATCCTCTATTTTCTATTTATTTACCTTTGTAAAAATAGAGCTTGATAATATTTTGTCTTTTCGGTCTCCTTAAACAAGTTAAATACTCCAGTAGGTAAAACTGCAAGCTAACAACTACTTACCTACTATGTTAGTAAGTCAATTAGCAACCGTTTAAATAGTAAAATAAATAATTATAATCAATGATAGTCGAGAGTCGAAAGTACAATTTAAGAGCACGAAGATGCAGGGTGGTGAGGCGGCTTACCGTCTTCACTCGCCCTATGATGGGTTCCTTCCATTTTTACGTTCCCCAATTATCTAACAAGGTAGGCTACGATTTTTATTATACTAAGTATTAAATTATTTTCAATATTATATTGAAGTAGTTTATTCCATTTCTAAATATATAGTAAATATAGTTCATTTAAAGCATTAGTGACTTAATGTTTTGAATCAATTTTACTTCCTACAGATAACTTCAAACTAATGAGGGAAAATTGTTGTTGCTAATGCATTTAATTAACATTACAAAAATTGGAAATGTTTCATTAGTAATTCATTTATTGTTACACTAGACTTTACTAATAAAACTGCAAGCTAACCCCTATTTACCTATTGTGTTAGTAGGTCAATTAGCAACTACTTAAATAGCGAAATCAATAATTATAATCAATGATAGTCAAGTCAAGCAGTCGAAAGTCGGGAGTCGAATTCAGTAGCACGATGATGCAGGGCGGTGAGACGGCTTACCGCCTTCACTCGCCCTGTGATAGTACCTGCCATTTCTACATTCACTTATTATCTAATAAGTTAGACTACGTTTATTATTCATCTGTTAACTTATTAATTAACTATAGCAAGGTTTTATAAATACCACAAATGGCTCTCTCTAGTACGATGCTACATTTTAGGATTACGTATGCTCCAACAAGGTCCATTTAAATATATGGATATCTACTTGCTGAAACGAATCTCTGCCTAACTAACCTCAACGTGATACGCAAGTTACCATAATCGAATAAAATAATTCGAAGTGGTCTGTATTCTGTCGAAACTGCTAGACGCGGATTGCGATTTCGATCTTTTTGGATCTCATCAGCGCGTCGCAGACAGCTCCGGCAGAACACAGACCAACTTTTACCTGCTGTCTTAAAGAGCGTTTTAGAAAATACCACAAATGGCGCGTTAAACGCCATCTGTAGTACGATGCTACATTTTAGGATTACGTATGCTCCAACAAGGTCCACTTGTGTGGATATCTACTTGATGAAACGAATCCCGGCGTAGCCAACCTCAACGTGATAGGCACGTTACCATAATCGAATAAAATAATTCGAAGTGGTTTGTATTCTGTCGAAACAGATGGCGTTTACCGCGCCATTTGTGGTATTTTCTAAAACGCACTGTTAAGACAGCAAGTAAAAGTTGGTCTGTGTTCTGTCGGAGCTGTCTGCGACGCCCTGATGAGATCCGAAAAGATCGAAATCGCGATCCGCGTCCTGCAGTTTCGACAGAATACAGACCACTTCGAATTATTATATAGCAAGGTTGTTGGCTGATCATTCTAAATTATATAATCCACTTCCAATACTATATTGAAGTAGTTACATTCGATTTCTTAATTATTATAAATTCGCTTCTGTATGATATGGTGGAATAATTACATTGCTAAATAAATAAACAAACATAACAATTCGCTGCATTATGACTATTTTTATCAATAAAGATGTGATAAGGTTCTCCTTAACTATTTTTTTATTCTCAGGAATGTCATAAGCAATAAAAGATGAAACAACTTCAAAAAAAAAAAAATACCTACCTAAAAATTTTAAATTGGATTTCGTTCTTTATATAAGTGGGCACTTTAGTTTACATTAAAGACTGAGCAGCAATTTCAACTTCCAGACAGACGTAGACGTAGACTAAGCAAATTTTCATTTGAGTAAAATTTTCCTCCAGTGCCTCTCGACCTATTTCCTCCAGTGGAGAGGAGAGCCAATAAAATTACGTACCATAACTCTTCAACGTGCTCGCTCGATACTTCGACAAAGTCAAAGTACAAGTAATAGTTTCATTATGATTTATTTTGGGCTCTTTTGAAAGCAAGTATGCTATGGATTAAATCACGCTTGCTGCAGTATTATGTATGACAGATACACACAAAATGAATGGAAATTGCTTTTTCGTATTTTCCGTCATTAAAATTCAGACAATCAGTTATTTCAAAATACAGGGTTTGTCCGGAAAGTAATAGGACTGATTTCCTTCCGCACCGATTGGATTCGGTAGAGGGCATTCCTAGCTAACGAACGAGCGGCTGGTGAGTTGTCTCCGAGCACCTGGAGAGTCAGAACAGGCTTTTTCGCGCGACGTGTTTCTGTCAGTGGTGCAAGTCGAAAATGCAGCGTTCGTTAGAGCAGAGGTACGCGATTAAATTCTGTGTGAAACTCGGTAAATCTGCGACAGAGACGTTTGATATGATCAAGCAGGCTTACCCAGNAATCTAGTAAATCTAAACACCTTTATAGGTACTTAAACTTGGTATAATAAAACAGTTTGTGAAGGCGTTTGACAAAAGTAGTGAATGTTTCAATTTTTTTTCACGCAAGTTTCCAGGATTAAGTAATGAAATGTTAAAAGCAGGAATTTTTGATGGGCCACAAATTAGGCAACTAGCGAAAGATCCTAATTTTATCAAAGCAATGACTGAAGTGGGATCGAAAGCATGGAATTCATTTGTTTTAGTTATGAGTTATAACATTTTAGGGAACAAGAAATCTGAGAATTATGTTGAGCTCGTTGTGTGTATGCTTTCAAATTTGCAAGACCTAGGATTAAAATTCACCTCCTACACTCACATTTAGATCGATACCCACAAAATCAGAGCTATAGAAATACCTAATAAAAGTAAAAAAAATTAAGGAAACAAAAATGGTGTTGACCAGTGTTATCTTTCTTGTTTCCACTTGGAACTGCAGTCATTTGCTGCGTTTTGTGCATGACCTTGTTAAGTTAAGAAATGCTTCATGAGGAGTACAGACAAAGTCAAAAGAGATAACCGAATACTAGTAAGCGGTGCAGCGGTTAGAGGTTGCTTAGGTACTCAAAAGATCAAGGTCGGCTTTATAATTGCCTGGTTGGAATTATGCCTTTAAACAAGCGTCTTTCTTTCCTAAATTCCTGAAAATGTTAAACATTCTTCAAATATCAAAATGCTCAAATTCTGATTGTCTGCATTTCTTTCTGTTACACATTAATTGATGTAATGTTATTCCTTTTTCTTTATTAATGTCCGCTGCAATTCTTACCTGGCATCTCTTTTCTATGTTTACGATATTCCTTATGTCTGTCGTAAGTAAAAGAAAGCGTTTTGTTAGGAACAGCTCTAGTTTAGTTAATAAGTTGAATGAAGAAATAAATGCAATAGTTTTATTGTGGACTATGCCATTTTGAATGTCTCAACTATGTCAGACATTTATCAGTATTTAGCATATATATTTGCGCAAATTTCCGCATCAGGAAGCACAGAATTCACCTAAATAAAAGAATAAATTCGCCATGTTTTAACGTACTGCAATTAAGTATTTTCTTATAAGAGGAAATTGTCAATTGTAATAATAAAAAATATATATATAAAGACTTACCCAGCCGGGTAAGCAACTGTTTCGTTATTCGAGTCCGAATCCAAAGCTGCATTAGTTGACACAGTAACCCCAAGGACCCGTTCTAGCTTAACCTGCAACAAAAAAAAATGAAAATGAGTTTACAGCAACGTGAAATTAAGGCCAATTGGCAATTTGTCAGAGACCGCGCCCCGTTCATCAAATGCCCACAGATTGCAATTTTCACCTCGTTAATTATAAGAATTACAATTTGACACGGAAATTGAAGTGCAGAAAATGAGAACGGAGGTAAAGTAGCGAATAAATCAAATTAAAGTAGGTATATATTTATACTGAAATTGTATTTATAGTGGTTTTGAATATAAACGAATTTTTAGGTTAAAACAAGTCTTTTTTAATACGTGAAATACTTTAGTAGCAGCAAATACCCACTAGATGGCAATAATTATCGGTATTTGGATTCTTTTTCAAAAAGTACACAGTTAATAATAATCGTATCTAAAGCAAGAGAGCTTCAAGTGACTTCACTGAGTGTTATTTTATAGACGCTAGGGATTTGTTATCAGTGAGTAACAATAGATGCGTATTTTTTACTGAGATGATGATGAAAGACGTACCAAACCTCCAAAAAAATGTATTCAATAAACTTACAAATGGTAACTGTGAACCATTAGTTAAGCAAAAAATTGTAACAGTTTTACGTTCCATGTACACCCCTCATAAAACTCTAGTGTGTGAGAAGCAATATTTAGGCGAAAAAAATGTAATTTATGGAAATAATATATCAGTTATCTATTTTATTGTTATTTAAAAATTATACCTAAAAATACAAAAATAACAACAAATGTATACTTATAGAAATAATACTAAAGATTCAAACTTTTAAGAACATACTCGAAATTTTAATTGAGGAAATAAGCAAAAGAATCTTAAATAAGTCTTTATATAACGAAATATTAGTACTATAAGGAAATTTTAACGAACAAGTATGTCATAAAGTCATCAAATTACAACATAATTACTATTACATAACAGTCAAATTTATATATCTACTGTTATATATTATACGTAATTTCTAATGTGTATGTAAGTATACCTAAGTAAACATTTGCATACACAAACATTTGCATATAAAAATAAGTTCATTTACGAAATGATACCTACTTATATCCACGTATGCACGTATTTAATTAAATTAACGTGCATATTTAACATTATCGAGGTCATACTCGCTACCTTATTAATAAAATATACTATTGCTGGTGCAAGTTCCAATTTACTATTTATTACAATTCGAAAGTCATTAGTCGCTTAATCAACGGAAACCTAAAATGGGTTACCTCAAAGAAAATCTTTAGCGTATGTTAAGCAATTCCGAATTGACAACAAGATAATATAATATCTGTGCAAAATAAATTGTTTGAATACTTCTTATGATTCAAAATTTCGGTATAAACAAAGTATAAGATACAGGAATTTTTAAATGAAGAAATTAAAAAAAATATTAGGTATGCAGTTTTGGGTTCGTGCCAATTAGTAAGTAACCTAACCTACTAATAAACGAAGGATTCTGCAAGATTGGTTAATTACCGAAGCCCTTCAATGAATCAGTGAATTGGAATTTCTTAAAAACATGCAAATGGGTTAGGATATGAAATTTTTTATTGCGTATTTCTTGAGATCTACACATTTACTACTTTATCAATAAATTTCTTTTCCTACGACACAAAAATAATTTTTGATTCAACCTAAGAAAAGACATTCTATGACCTTTGAAAGAGGTACCACTGAGTTCAGTGATAAAGTACTGGTACATAAAACCAAGGGCCCGGGTTCAATTCCCGGCAAGCAGCAATTTTTCCTAATTAATTTGAGGTTATCTGTAGTGGGTAAAACTGATTAAAAAAATTAATTCACTAATACATTAAAAAAATAGTCAGGAACAAGTGTAATATGAATCATAAGCCTGTTCATATCTTGGATCATATCATCATTACTTTTAACAGTACCTAGATAAGATTCTGCGATATTTTTAACGATTATATTAGAGCTCTATAAATGGTAGGTATTCTCTTCGGCCATTTTGGATTCATCTAAACGTCGACCTGCCTACATCTTCGTACACATTCATTTTTAATTTAAAAAAGAAAGCTAAAAGAAGCGCTAATATATAATTAAAGTAATCGTTTTGCATCACAGGAACAGCATTTTTTGGGTTTTTAAAGTTTATATTAAATAAGTGCACAAATATACAGTCATCGAATATTCGATTTTTCCCCCATCTGATGGGTCCCAACTAACAGACAAGAATAATCAATTTCATAGAATCTTAATTATATTGAATGCTTTAACTTATTGACAACCAAATATATTTGTTATCTTTATCTTTTCAGATAAAGATAACCTACTAATCTTAGTATGTATAAATGTATATCAACATAACTATTGACGCTTTTAACTTTTTGTTTCAATACGATACTACAAAAGGTGCAACGACCATATTTAAAAGCTTTTAAATTTATGTAAACGTAATAATTAGCATAACTGAAGTGAATATGATTATCAAAATCACTTAGTTTTTGTGTCGTATATTCAAATATCCACATTCCTAATGTTTACACTATAAAATTTTTCTTCAAGGTAAACCATTTTTAGCATTCTAAGTTACAAAAACAAAAAATAATGATTTTAAAAGAGATTTTAATTGCTATTTGCTTTTTTATGAATTAGTAGGTAATAGTATAAAATGACAAACGTAAACAATAAAAAATACATTAAAAAAATTATGTGGCTCATAACAGACGCCAGTCAATTTAAACCACAGATTAAGCACGGCAGAGTCTTAAAACCTTCCTAATACTGAATCCTGGATAATCCTCAACTACTTACGACACGTGTCAGATCCATTCAACTAATACGCCTATATATGTGTATCAATAGTAGTACAAACTACTTCAAACTTTAAACGCCTTATCGGTGTAATTTATAAATTAATATGAGATGGAATATTCTATAAGAACAGGCAGTTATAGAGCTGGAGCACCAACGTAGAAGAAGAAGTACATATTAGGAAGGAAGTCAGACAAGGATGTACACTGTTGGCGCTACTTTTTAATCCATACATCCAAGACGCAATCAACATCATTAAAAAGACAGTACAACTGTAGGTACAGATAGATATAGAGGGGCAAAAGAATAGTACGCTTAGATTTGCAGATGATAAATCATGTATTAACATCTTGCAACAAGGAGTTAGAGATAGCTTTAAATAAATGGAAACGGTATTGAAATTGTATGAAAATAAATAAAAGTAAAACACAAATACTGGTATGCAAGCGCAGAAAAGGTCGGAAACGAGCGAATGTAAAGATGGGAGACGAATGATTAGAAGAAGTAGTTGATTTTAGGTATCTAGGAAGTCAGATAAGTCAGGACGGAAGGAGTAATAGGGCTATAAAACAGAAGATAGTGCAGGGTCGAGTCGCCTTCAAAAAAAAAATTAATTTAGAAATTCTAAAAAGATTGTTGAAGGTATGTTTATAGCGCGGCGCTGTACGGAAGCGGACGGTGAGCGGGGCGGAAAAGAAAATGTTAGAAGCGTTCGAAATGTGGTGTTACAGGCGATTGATGAGGATACCGTGGATAGAAAAGGTTAGAAATGTAGAGGTATTAGAAGGAATAGAAAAACAGAGGACTCTATGGAAGTCAATACGAAATTGGCGAGATAAGTTGGTAGAACACCTTCTCAGGCATGAAGGTCTATTCAGAGACCAGAGACATATTAGAAGCAGAAAAATGTGTTAAAAGGAGTAGAGGTATACCTACATTAGATTACTGTTCCCAAATAGTTAAGGATGTGGGATGTTCTAGTTTTAGGAAAATGCGAAGATTAGCTCCGGATAGGAAGGAGTAGAGGTGCGTCTCCATTGTCCAACCACTCTTAGTAGTAGGATAATGATGATGGAATATTCTGGAATCATTATTGCGCAAACAAAAGAACCTAAAATCTCGGGTGTTTTCAACTCTTCATAAGTCACTTAAATAAAGGGTTTTTGTAAAAATGCAGTTCAAGAGTAATTCTGTTATTTATTTATTTACTTTTGTAAAAATCGAGTCTGATAATGTTTTGCTTTTTTCGTTCTCCTTAAGCAACTTATTATAAATATTCTATTAAATAAAAATAATAGAAAACAAAGCGACATTGAAATTAAAGAATATCAAGGTCTTGAGCAGTAATTTATAGAAACTACCAAAGGGAGATCACGATTTCGAACATGTTAGGTCTCACCAACACATCATACATAGCTTCGGTAAATCAGTGATCAAAACTGTTAAAGTGATTTTAAAATCTATACCATACAAACTAAGAAAGTCAATTCAATTGAAAATTTGTAAACACCAACTACAAAAATTATTTCTTCTGTTTCACTTCAGTTTCATAATTGATGTAGTACAGTTAGAGGTATCCCTGCTTTCGACTTTGAGCATTTTTTCTTAATAAATATATAATTATATTCTCTTAAGTACAGTTAAACCTGTAAATGACAAAACTTGAAATAACTTCAAAATATAAAATAATATAACATGAAATGAAAATTGATCAAAACTTTTTAGGTTAAGCAGTTCAGTTATTAGCTACCAATGTACTATTTTCAAACACCAACGAGCATTTTGACTTTACAGATGAAACTATTAAATTAAACAGGGTCAAATTATATTAATTAATGCTGTAACTCCTGTACCTCTTTAAAAACAAAAGTTAGGGACACACGTAGATCCATTAAAATGCTTATTTAAATTTGATATCAACATAACAATTAATAGAAAATGTAATTATAATAACTAATGGACCAGTTCTAGCGTTATGAAAAAACCATATCAATTTAATTAAGCATCTTAATCACTTTGGACTTCTTAATAGAATTATGACCAAATTAAGATTTGCTGCTGTTAAGTTGTTTCATAAGCTTATACATAACTTGATATAATGACCGTAAAACTTATACCCAGTTACCACTACCACTACCCACGCTGACAATTAATACGGCAGAACTGCGCATTTTCAATTTGCATCTAATTTCCATCTAGTTATCTTGTTGGTGTTATGGGAAAA